GAATACTGGCTTGTCTGTGCCAGATGGTAGAGGAAAAGCACGGAGGAAGCCTGGAGAGGAGATGTGCCATACCTCGTGGAGTGAAGTAAGTAGCAAGGTCAAGGACATGAAGTAATCCTCCTAACTTTAGAACTCCCATTTACACAGATGACACTACGATTCTAATATTGCTGCTTTTGATCTCAGGGCTGCAGGAGGGCTTTTAAAAGAAAAGGCATGGGAGGCAGAGGGTAAAGCAAGAGAGAAGCATGTGCCACAAGCTTTAATGTTGGCATCACTGCTCTTCCTGCAGGTTAAGTACTTTTCCCTATAAAAACCATATTATTGTCCACATTGCTATAATCATTCCTATGTCAACTTTGCCCATTCTGTATACTAATGTTGCTGTGAAGTGCCGTTCTGACCCATAGCGACCCTGTATAGGGTTTCCTAGGAGCGGCTGGTGAACTTGAACTGCCAACTTGAGCTTCAAAAGACTTTGCAGTCCAGCGCATTAACCCACAGCACCACACCAGGCCACTCTATTAATACCTACCACTTATTCAGCACCAACTATGTGCCAGGGACTATGCTAAGTGCTGGAGTCCCTGAGATGAGTGAGACAAACACTGAAATGACTAAAAATCATTGAGAAGAGTTCTGAGATAGGGGTATGGACAAGCTACGCTCCAACCAGGGAGACAGAACCAAGCTTCAGGGAGGAACAGCCCAGTGCTAAAGGATGAGGACTGCAGTAGTACCAGAGCCAAAGGCAAAGGGGGATAACATGTGAGCATGAAGGTCTGAGGATGTTTTTCCAAAGCAATGCTAAGAGCAAAGAGCAAAAGGGGGATGGGGTATTTTCAACTAGAACAGAGGGAAAAGATTCTGGTTGGGGAAAAAGAATGAGGCCTGTACTAAGAGAGCAACAGGAATGGAGAAATGAGAGGGGCAAGAGTTCGGAGGCTGACTCAAAAGGACCTGATGGCTATAGGTGAGACACAATCAGGATCTTCAGGTTCCCAAAGAACACCTTGGGGGGTGTACTAAACGTAATGCCATTAATGAAAGTAGACAACAGAAGAAGAGGAGCCCAGTGTATAAGCACATTCTGGTAGTGTGGACATTGATGAGAGAGAGAGAGAGAGAGAGCGCGAGCGAGCGAGCGAGCTCAGGGAAAAAAATAGGACCAAATGAGGGAGGGCTGAAATTGAGAATCTGGGATTAAAAAAAAAGAAAAACAAAACACTATCATATCAGAGAGGAGTCTTATCTACCACGGAAACCAGGATGTGCCCAAGAAGGGAATGATCCATTAGGGTAAAGGCTATGGAGACATCAACTAGAGAGAGGACTAAGAAAACACACTAGATTTGACTGTCACTTTCCCCAAATATTCCAAGAAAACAGCAGGCACTAAAGACAGATCACTAGACTGCTAGTGAGGAAATGGAGGCTGAGAACATCTCAGAAATCTGGATGTGAAGGGAAGAGCATGAAGGTGGTTGTTGTTGTTAAGTACCATGGAGTTGGTTCTGACTCATACTGACCCTGTACAGGGTTTCTGAGGCTGTAAATCTTTACAGGAACAGAAAGCCTCATCTTTCTCCCGCCGAATGGCTGCAGTTTTGAATTGCTGACCCTGAGATTAGCAGCCTGATTCATAACCACTACGCTACCAGAGCTCCTTATGAGGGTGGTAGGAAAAGGAATTTTGTCTTTCTTTTTATGTTAGAGAAGCCGCTTAGAACGTTTATGCAAATAGAAGACATACTAGATGGTAACGAAGACACAGGGAACAGGACAGGAGACAGAGGAGGGAGCTAGTGCACAAGCAGATTCCAGAAAGGAAAAATGAAACCTTTTCCCCAGAAACTACAAGTGAGGTGCTAGGAGGGCAGGCTAAGCTGGAGGATACATGTGGAGGTAGAGGAGACGCAGGCTGTCAAATTCTTTTTTAAATTATAAAATTCTATGATCACTAAATAGCACCTGGAAAATGAAAAAACTAAGGTCCTTGTGTTTTGAGTATTTACAATGGATTTATCTTACAAAGAAAAAGAAAACCTGCAAGTCAACTGCTTATGTAACAATAAAAACCTCCACTTAGATATTCTATAGTCAGTGTTTCAGGTGACCCAGTGGCATCATGAAGTGGTGCAGGAGTACAGCACACTGACAGAGGGGGTCACAGTAAAATGACTGTAAAATTTTTGTGCAGTTTCAGCAGAAATTTATTATTTATATGTTGTTGCTGTTGTTAAGTGCCAATGACTCATAGTAACCCTGTATGGGGTTTCCGAGGAGTGGCTGGTGAATTTGAACTGCCAACCCTGAGGTTCATATCAACCTTGTGGTCCAGAGCATTATCCCACAGCACCACAGAGGATAAAAAAATACCCCTGTAATTAGTTATAACATTTTTTGTAAGCCCAGTTTACAATCTATCTGTAAGGTTACACATATGCTAATTTACTTTTCAACACTCTAGCATACTTGGGTCAGAAATGTGACTACTAACTACCCAATTGGCTGCAGGTGCTTTCATCTGCGTGCACTCCAAGCATGTGTCAGTGTTTTCAGAGTTATTATCAAATGTTCTGGTATTTTAGCTACAATATTGTTGGACTGAAGTAATAATTAGGAAAAGGAAAACAAATTTAAAGGCTTCTGCTCAACTGCTAATAATATTGTTACTAATAACATAATTCCGTGTATAAAGATTTTTCAAACAATTTTGTTGTTAGTATTCATACAAATGAAGAGATAGGACATTTAAGCAATTTCTAACTCTATTACATAGTATTCTATGATGAAAATTGCTAACAAACATTGCTGGGTTCTGTATGGTCTGGTATGGGCAGAGGTCCATGGGGCAGGGGTGGTACATTGAGTTACTGCACCTGAATTTTAATTGCTCTAGTAAATTCACGGTTCGGTTGGACACCGTATGAAATGGCACATAGTTTCTAGCTAGGAATATGCTCAATATTTAGGATAGGCTCTGGCTGTAAGATAAACTAGTCTTTAATAATAATAACAATTTGATCAGCAATTAGGATTATTGCCCAAATTCTGCCAACATTTCATCACTAGAATTATTTGCTTCCAAATAGTTTGGATTAACATTAATCGTAACTGTAAAAATTATAATCACTTAGCAATTAAAGCTACTATTTGCTTTAAGAAACAATGTTTTATTAATAGTACTTTGAAAGTTCAATAAATATTTGCTGAGTGCTTAATAGAGAGGCATTCACAGTGTTAGAGAGTGGATTTTTGGCAGTAAACACTAATTCCGCCACGAAGGAGCTTCTGTATTTCAGTACAGGAAAACGGCATACAAATAAGTCATATGATCAGCAGGTCAAACTGTGACAGTGCTATGGACAAAAAATAAAACAGGGTCACATGCTGCTATCTTAAACAGTATTGGTCAATCGAGTGAGGTCTGTAAGGGAGTGAGCTCTGCATATATTTGGGTAACGCATAGGGGCAGAGGGAACCCCAAGTACAGAGGGTCTGAGGCAGGTGTACGCTTGGTGTGTTTGAGGAGACGTTTGGAGACTGGAGAAGAATGGTAGCAGATGAGGTAGGCGAGGGAGTGTATGTAGGCCTGCTAATTTTAAGGACTTAAACCTTTACTCTGAATGAACTCCATGGCTCTGAGCAGATGAATAAGATTTAACTTGTTTTAAAAATAATTGAGTCTGGCTACTTTACAGACAAGAAAGTGTAGAACCACCAGGGTGTAAGGAAGGTTTTCAAAGGCTATAGCTTCAAACCAGGCAAGAGATGATAGTGCTTAGACAGGATGTTCTTAACAACAGAGGTCGAAAGAGGTAGTCAGCTTTGGATATATTTTGTAGGTAGAGCCTACTGAATTTTCTGATGGATTAGCTATGGGATGTAAAAGGAAGAGACGACTCAAGGTTGACTCCAAGGTTTGGGCCTAAGTAACGAGAAGCATGGCATTGCCATTTACTGAGTTGGAGAAGGCTATGGAGGAGCAAGTCTGGGAGGAATATCAAGAACAGTTTTGGATAAATTGAGTTTGAGCTTTATCAGATTTCTAGGTAGAAATGTCAAATAGGCAGTTTTACACACACAGGTGCGTACACACACACACACAAGGACGCTTAGGCCAAGTGCCATATCTGGAATTCAGGAGGCAGATCTCAGGAGGAGTGAAATTTGGCAGTTGAGTATCCAGATGGTATCAAAAGACATGGAATTGGATAAGATCAGAATTTGAGGACACATAACAAAGAAAAGTCCAAGGAAACTTCTTCCCCTTAAAAATACAGGTGTAAAGGTAAAACCAATTTTAGAGGTATGAATTTAAAGAGTCCAAAATGTAGAGAACCTCCCATACCCTGAAAGCTCACTTCAACTGCCTTCAGCCCAACTAAGCATTTTAAGAAGTTTTGATTTACATGTAAATCTAAGACATTCCAAGAAGCCTCAGAAAACCCCTTAGGGGTCACCTTGGCGAAGGGTCTCAAAAATAATAAGGAATTTATTTTTTCAATGACATAGCCATTACACGTTTTCCTTATATTTGCTTGAAAGCAAATATCAGTTAATTCATTTAACTAAGAATACATTAATACATTATAAAAGAAGTATAAAAAAGTATATTTAGAAAACCGTTTTACACTAACATTTTCTTCAGTGCGTCCTAGGGCAGCGTGGTAGGACTCGCCCGGCGGAATTTACCCCACACATGGTACTTACTGAGTAGTATGTTTCAAAAGAAGAAACAATACATCCCTTTAAAGTTTCTATTTTGAGTTTTCTTCTTATGACAGTTTCAATTTTATGTTCTATAGGCCCCAAAGTTTTATAATTCTCCCTCAAAGAGGTTTTCGGTCACCACCCCTCAGAAACAAAACAAACGCTATGCATCTCTAGTATAATCTCAGACAAATATAAATGCTGCACCCTAAATAGGTAATATTAAAATAACTGCAAACACTGTAAATGATTTAAATCTTAAATCACCATTTAAATCTGGCAAGCTATACTTGAAAATATCCATATGCACAGCCATCACCGAATTGCTCATTCTGCAAGGTGCTAACACCTGGATACTGACTACTTTGAACAAAGCTATGACTGCTTGGATTTGTAGTATTTGGTGGTCCTGACTCATTTATCATGCTGCTATCAGCACAACTGAAGTTTGATCCCTCAAATGCATCTGACTGTGAAACAAAAACTGTGGTATTGGAACTGGAGCCTGCTGACATACTGGAAGAGGACATCTGATGGAGCTGCTGTCTCAAGTCCAAAACGGAATTACAGGAGTGGCTGTCAAGATTCATGCTTCCGAGCCTTGAATTATCAGTCTCCCTCTCATTACAAGACGTTATCATATCCACGGGGCAATTAGACAGCATGCTGGCATCAGAAATACCATGTAAGTCAGCTGGTGACATAGACGATGCTTCCATTCTGCCTATGTCATTAGTACTATTATAAATGCAAGCATTAAAAGCATTTAAATCACTCGCATCAGGCATTCCCAGGAATGTTGTGAGACCTTGCAAATTAGAGGAAAGTGTTCCTGTTGAAAAGCCATTTGGTGGATTTGTATTGACTGAGTGTGAGTTAGGGTGAGTCACTGATGACCAGCTTGAAGAAGGTGAATGCATCATGGAGATGGATGAGCCTTGATGTGGTAATACCCTGGAGATGGACACAGGTGGGGAATAGTAGGGTTCTGCTTGACTTGGGGGCCTGGGTGTTTCTGTCGCAACTGCACCACGAGAAAACACGTTTGGTTCTTGGGAAGAGGTGAGAGAAAAGGAGAATGCAGTTTTACAAAATGAAAAGAAACAAACTTATAGACATTATTTCTAAATTAAAATGATCTAAACATACTAATAAATGAAAATATCCGGGACACTGATGTAACATTTCAAAGGAAAACTGTGAGTAGCATTAAACTTCACGAGCCCAAAATTGTATTCTGTAATACTTAACTGTTTTATAAATACATATAGAATAATTCTGATAAACTATTATGACATGTATAATTTCACTATAGTTAAATAAGAACTTTTAGCTTTTGAGATCCTTTAAAAATAATTTTGAGAGATGAGAGGTAATTATTAGAACTTCACTTAATGTAAATCCAAGTAGCCAAAATCATTTCAGACTCCACCATTTAGGGGAACATAAAAGGATGGAGGAAACACTCATATGGGTGATTTACAAATCCACATTAACTTTTAAGATTATTAAGATACAACTCTAAAGTACTAGAAAATCCCCAATCAGAAAATTTAATTCTGTATTCATTTATACATTATATGAATGCTGCACATATTAAACTATGAGAAAGCTCAGATTTAAGAACATAAGGGAGAAAAAAAAAGATTTCCTATGAATCCTTGGTTGGATCATCTAATTCTGGGATGGCACCCTTTTCTGAAATGGTCCAGATAGTAAATATTGTAGGTTTTATAATAGGGTATGTAGGGAGCATGGTGTCTCCATACAACAAATCACAGCTGCTCCATAGGAGAAAGAAGAGTCTTCTTGCTTCCTGGAAGATTTAAAGCCTTGGAAGCCCTACACAGGGTTGCTATGAGTCAGAGCCGACTCGACACTTAACAACAAAGCCTCTGCACTGCTGTAGTGAAATAAGGAAGCCACAGACAATAAGGAAGTAAGTAAGTGCGGCTGTGATCCAGTGAAACTTCGTTTATAAAAATAAGCCGCCGGCCAGATCTAAACAGTTTCTTCCATGACATATAGTAATTAGTATAACTGCTACCATATGATTAGATGTAATTTCTGACATAGTAAATTCCTAGAACATAATCAGTTTCTTTTAATACCTTTGGAAGCTGACCTCAATTCACTCAATATTGAAAGCATAAAAATTTTTTTTTTAGGACAGAAAATAACAAAGAGGCGGTTAGTCCTCTGAAAACTGTAATTCCACTATACTGTGCTACTATAAAGCGCTAGGAATATTCAATAAAGGAAAACATACCCTTTTTGATGAAACGTCCTTCTGCAGTTGATCCTAGGCTTGGTCTTTCAAGAAAATTAACTCCTATGATAAAGTTTTTCCATTATAAAAGGTCACTTGAAAAATAACACTATCAGTTAAAATTTTAAAAACAAAATCTACTTAAAATACAATAAATCTAAAATGTTCTTACCACAATCCTGCCACAGTTTCTGGAATAGTAGAGTCGTTCTTTGTTTCTTTGCTTTATTGCCATAGGTATCTGTTTAAAGGACAAGAAAGCATGTGAGTCATCACAGGATTACGCTTCCTCTCTATTCATAAATTTACAAGGAGCCCTGGTGGAGCTGTGGGCTAGCCTTAGCAGCCTACTTCATAAATTTAGTGTTGCTGTATTCATACATAAGGAGTTCTAGTGTGGCACTGTAGGACAGGCGCTAGGTGGCTAACCACAAGGTCCATGGTTCAAACCCAACAACTACTCCTCAGAAACTCTAAACAGAGTCGGTATGAGTCAGAACCGACTCAAAGGCACTAAACAACAATAACAACATTCATATATAAGGAGCTCTGGTGGAAGAATGGGTTAAGTGTTGGGAATGCTAACCACAAGATAAGGCTGGCTGTTCCTGTGAAGATGTACAGTCTCAGATCCCCTAATGAGCAGTTCTACTTGATTCTATCGGCTTGTCATGAGTTGGAATGATGCCAGAGGGCTTTTTGGGTTATTCATATATAGAAAATGCTTTAAATGAATACAATATGGAATTAATAAATATTGTGGCATATTCAAAAGTTAGTAGTAAAAGAGAAAACAAACGAGATGGCGGATCGGGTGGCTGTGTAGTAAAGAGCTTAGCCAACAACACCACAGAATACCTGCCTAAGCAGGCTCAGGGGCTGGTCCCAGAACTCTGAACCACATATAAAGGAATATTTAAAGGGTTGGAAAGCTCACAGCTGGGGAAATATGTGGCAGAAGCAAGAAATCTATTGCTTTCTAGTCTGGGACGCTCGGCTGCTCCAGGAGCCGCCATCTTGGGTGAGACCAAGCGGGGGAAGGATCGAAGCGGCTACAGACACCTGGCAGAACCGCAGAGATAAAGGTGTGGACATTCTTTTCTTTTGACATCTGTTCATTGGTCCCTTACTGTCTGCGTACCTCCATTCTGGTGACTATAGGGCTGCCTGAGCTAGTGGGCACCCCAGCCCCACCCTCGGAGGGTTCTACTATGCATGCGCACAGATCTCCTTGAAATTTAAAAAGACAGTTTCCAATTAAAACCAAACGGCCATAGCTGGCCCTGAACTGTTTCCAACTAGAAAAAAAGGCCTGAACAGGGATTGTGGAATGGGACAAGCAGACAAAAGAGGAAACAGGACGAAAATTAAATCCTAAGTTACATCAAAACGACCAACAGTGAGTGGTATCTTGAAACCTCCCAGGAAGAAGAGTGAAAAGGGAAGCCCATTTCCTGATCACATCTACCTGGAGGCATT